TGGCCGCCAGTCGGCTATTTCAAACTTGATTCGAAAAAAAAATGACGTGCATCAAGGTCCTATTATGTTTAATATATGTACCAAATTTGACTGAAATCCGTCCATGCATAACTGAGATCCGGGTCCGGAATGGTGAAAATGTGCGATTTCAATGCATTTTCGGCCTTAAAGCGGCCACCATTTGGCTATCGTTAATGAGATCATGAAACAAATGCACATACATATTTGTGACATGATGTACCTTGTGTGTGTGAAGTTTGAACTCGATCAATCCAAGCATGTCTCAGATACGGATCCAGAAGTGATTTCTTTAAAACAAAATGGCCGCCAGTCGGCCATTTCAAACCTGATCCCCCCCAAAAAAAATGACGTGCATCAAGGTCATATTATGTTTAATGTATGTACCAAATTTGAACAAAATCCGTCCATGCATAACTGAGATCCGGGTATGGAATGGTGAAAATGTGTGATTTTGATGCATTTTCAGCCTTAAAATGGCCGCTATTCGGCTATCGTTAATCGGATCATGAAAAAAATGCATGTGCATATGTCCCATATAATGTGTGATGTATGAGTGAAGTTTGAACTTAATCGGTCCATGCATGTTCGAGATACAGGTGATCACGGACGCACGCACGGACGCACACAGGGCAAAACATAAGTTCCCGTTTTCGGACTACATCCGAACGGGGACTAACAAAATACGGTCTATATGTATCCTCTGATGTTATAGCAGTGTAATAAAGTTATTATCAAAATATGGTCTATATGTATTCTCTGATGTTATAGCAGTGTAATAAAGTTATTATCAAAATATGGTCTATATGTATTCTCTGATGTTATAGCAGTGTAATAAAGTTATTATCAAAATATGGTCTATATGTATTCTCTAATGTTATAGCAGTGTAATAAAGTTATTATCAAAATATGGTCTATATGTATTCTCTGATGTTATAGCAGTGTAATAAAGTTATTATCAAAATATGGTCTATATGTATCCTCTGATGTTATAGCAGTGTAATAAAGTTATTATCAAAATATGGTCTATATGTATCCTCTGATGTTATAGCCGTGTAATAAAGTTATTATCAAAATATGGTCTATATGTATTCTCTGATGTTATAGCAGTGTAATAAAGTTATTATCATTATAATGATTGGAAAGATGGATGAATGACTGTTAGGGACACTTTAAAACAAGGTGTCAAATGTCATGTCAAAAGGTCATGACATGCCAAAGTGTAGACAATGTAAATCACAAGTTTATAAGCCTAAACAGTTATAATCAAATTAATTTGACAGGTCTCTGACACATCCAAGTCACTAGGCAATTTAAAAGGGTCTTTTTACTCCAGGTCACATTTTTTACCCTCAATAGGTGTCTTAATATTGAAACAAGTTTGACAACTTCCTCTCATCAAGCCTGAACTTTAAATTTACTGTTACAGGTAACCACCATTCATAATGCAAACAAACATTAATCAGACCGGCATACAGCCACTCAACTGTGAGCTAGTAAAATATTATGTGGCTTATAGAACCCTGTAGGTAAATAGGTCAAACAAATTTTTAAATACAACTGATAAAAAAATGCGTAAACATGCACACACAAGGAATAACAAAAAGAATCAAAAGCACAAAATATTAGTAGTCATGAAGTTGATTTTTCCACAAACAAATGTTATATAATTTCAATTAATGAAGCATGACTGGTTGATTGTGTAACACCCAGCAGGGCACTTTACATCAGATCAGAAGACAAATGTAGGTCTAAATTTGTAACAACCTTCAAGGATGCACAATTTATGAGGACTATTCGAATTAGGACAATCCAACATTGAAATCTACGTTTATTTTGAAGGTGGCTTATCAATGTTCAAAGAGAAAAAAATTCACTTTAGTTGTTGTCTGAACATACAGGGATATTAAGCTATTTTTTTTCAAACCCAGAAAATTCACTTAGAGTTTTGTCAAAAATAAAGCATTGTAAACTAATGAGGAGAAAGGAAAGTGCCTTGCTACCAGCTCTTTTATAATTATAGAATAGAATTTTCAAGAATGTGAACTAAACTAAAAAAGCAACGTCTTGCAGGTCCATGGCAGAAAAGAGCGATTTGAGGCGAACACATCCCTGCAAAGTTAGAAGGCCGTGAAATTGTGCTGTTGTGAGCGAACACGCCCCGAGTGCAAAGTGCATAACCCTTACACACGACTAATACAGCGTCCACGATAAGTAGGCAATAACATAACATTGGTCGGTAGCGCCGACCACCTAAGAGATGTGCACCGGACAACGTAATGACGAGCGGTAGTGTTAGCAACTAGTACGCCGGATATAGGCTGCCAAAAACCTAGGTTACCACAGGGTGACCGACGAGAAACAGTGGAATGCGGTTTTTTTTTCTGATCAGGGAGGTGCATAAACGTAACCTAAATACTTTCAAGTGCATACAACTGCAACGCTAGAGAAATATACGAATGCCAAGACCAAATAACAAAATACCGCGACATAACACAGAGGTTTATAATCATATTTCGATATTATAATACACCACCTTTCAAATCAAAACACATAGTCCAGTGGAATAAGGAAATTGTCTGGCGAATAGTATATTCAAGCTGTGTATGTATCTACGTAGTGCAAACTATGTAGTAGACGACGTTACCCTACCTCGTCCGCTGCTGACAGATTGCAACCATCGCGTCACCGAACACCGGCGAGAGGGGATCGCTTCCAGGCTTCCGGAGATCACCCGTAAATATTCCTCATTTCTCTGTCTTCTTTTCAATTTTAGTAACCGATATATACTGCATGAATTGTTTGACTCACGTTAATTCAAAAGATTACAGCCAGAGTCCGATTTGTTGACACGAACGACCGATATTACATAGACAACAATATGCAATACAGGTACATCTCTTCGATGAAAAGGGAAAATGAAGAACATGGCACCCCTAACCAACTATTTAATATTCAACAAAGTCTCCCCAGGTTGCTGGCGTTTGAGCAGACCCAACCAGAATATTTAGATAGTTGGCACAAAACACTAAACATTTTTCGGTATTTTTTTTCCAAAAATATGTTTGTTTTTTTAGAAGATACATAATATAATACAGTTGAAAGCGTTATAGTCATCGTGAATATGTCAAAACATCTGGAAAAGTGCCCACATTAACGAAATAGCTTGTTGATTCCCTAGTTTATTTAATAATTTATTTATTTATTTATTTATTTATTTATTTATTTATTTATTTATTTATTTATTTATTTATTTATTTATTTATTTATTTATTTATTTATTCATTCATTCATTCATTCATTCATTCATTCATTCATTTATTTATTTATTTATTTATTTATTTATTTATTTATTTATTTATTTATTTATTTATTTATTTATTTATTTATTTATTTATTTAT